TGATCTCTCTTTTTAATTTTCATCAGAACTCTGGCTGCAGCATTTTGGATCAGCTGAAGGCTGTGGACTTCCTGATAGTCACCTCAACACGTCATCTCAATCTGCAGTAAACTATGATACTCCTATAGGGTTTCATTTATTAGTGACATAGCTTTATGGCAATCTAAGGATATGTGTTGATCTGAAGATAAAACAGTTTTCATTCTTAAATAAAATGCAACAAACCTTTCCTGAGTGAAAGCAGAACTTCCTGTTAGGTGTCAGTTTAGTGGAAGTTTTGCTCACTGTGTCTCTGCTGCCTCTTAAAGCCCCTCCATAAGTGGCTGTGTGCGGGTGAATGCTCGGTTTCCTGTATGAATGCTACATGCAAACCACGTGGTGTGAAAGCAGACTGCAGCTTCTTTTGTTCAAATCAATCAAACCGGAGACGGACAGAGAGCTGCTGAATCAGGAAATCACTGGTATACAAATCATTTCTTTTTTAGTTTTAGCGAATCACTAAAGGAGAGCTTATGGACTCCACCGACGCTGTTGGTGTTCTGGTGTGAACACACGTGTAGTTTGGGAAATGTTGTAAAGTTTGTTGATGTAGCATCTTTCGTATGGAGCGTCAGTCTTTGACTGTTTGTTAGCATACAGTAGCGAGGTAACGTTAGCATAATGAACCCCATCATTCAATCACATTTTACTCGGTTTTACATCAAATGCATGCAGGTTTAAAATCCCTCCCTCGCTATTTAAGACATTCAAACTTCACTGTGGTTGTGTGTACAGCGGGAAATGGTGTAAGTTGACCTGCCGTACGGCGGGTTTTACGGCAGCTAGCTCGCTAAACAACCGAACAAAGAGCGGCGGACGGACGGTTAGCTTGGTGAAGCTAACGGATACCAGCTCAGGGTTCGGTCCGCTGTCGGCGGCTTCTGGTTCTGGTTCCTCTCTCCTCCAGACAAGCTCCACCGCTACTTGGAGGGAGATTATTTAATGCCATCATGAAACAGAGTCAGCTTAATAATGTTTGGGGAAAATTGTCTTTACGGAGCCCCGAAAGTGCCAAGTCAGGAGCTCCTTCACTCGGTGAATTATTAATTACAGGATTCTGTTAAATAACAAATTAGATATCATAATGCAGGTTGATGTTTAACGTTATTAAAGATGGCACCAATTACTCTCAATATAACACAAGAAAACCTCTGTTATGAACTCAGTAATTTGAGTTTGTTTTAGTAAAGTTTGGATCAAAGTTGGCTGGCCCTTAAAGTTAGCCCTGTGACTTGGAAAAGCAGAAGTTTCCTACCAAGGCTGGTAGTAAAATTCAATATGGCTGCCAAACACAGAGCACAGTGAAATATTTATTATTGGATGATATTATTGCATCTACCTATGGAAGCCCGGTTCCCCCACTCTGTTATAAGATAAAATCATCTCATTATAATGAGATAGTGTCTCATTATCATGATATGAGATACTATTTCAAAATAGTAAAATCTTCCTGTTTAAAGGGAGTCTTTCCTCTCCACTTTTGCTGCAAGCATGCTTAGTGTGAGGGATTGCTGAAGAGTCAATGAGCCGCTGCAATCAACTGGTTTTCCTTAGAAAACTTTGAAACAACTTGACTGGATGATCTGGTTGAATTGTGCATTGAGATGACGTGTTGTGAAATGGCGCTATATAAATAAACTGAATTGAATGGG